ATTGTTCATTCATTTATTGGCCATTCGTATTTCCTCAGGGGAGAAGTATCTATCTACTCATTTCAGATGTCCACTTTTGATCGCTTCTCGGCCTTTTGGCTAAGATCAAGTGCAGATGTCCACTTTTGGAGTGAATCTCTAAATTCGGCATACCTATCAGATTTTTACTCAATTAATGTATTGCAGAATATTAAAGGCAATACAATAATTTCCTGCTGAAATTATGTTTGCCTATAGTACCTGGCTTAGATCTAAAATGTCCTCCCAAAGGTTTTATGGGTCCAGAGGTGGGGCTTTTGGAAGGCAGCTGGATGATGCAGGCACTAACCTGGTCCATGGTCACTCCATGGGCTCAGAGCTGAATGAGCTATCAGGAGGTGGGATCCAGTTGGAAGAAGGTGGTCCCTAGGTGTCGCGAGCCACAACATCAGAATCCTGCCAGCAGGTCCCAAACCCGAGGGAGGAACAACAGGAGAGCAGTTTCACGAACTTACTTCCAGGCTCATGCTCTACCGTAGCAAGGCCCCGTTTATTTTTTTCAGGGTGGGGTATATATAGGCTAAAACCGAAAGCAAAAGTGTAAACATTTATACTCTTCAGCTGCATGGGAGCGAGAGCTGCACGGGAGCGAGAGTACCGCCCACACACTCCAGAGGGAAACAATAACAACCATTATGGGTTACATCTGCTACCAGCTGAACTCGCCCGTTGCTATCGGCAAGGTGACTCAAAGTTCAATCATGGCTAGGCCTATGTCAAGGCTCACCATGATGGCTCACCATACCTAGGAACGTGACTTTAAAGCCCCCCACCCCAGCTTCCTGGTTACCATGAGGTGAGCAGCTTTCCCTTCTCCACAACCTTCCACCACACTTCCTGCCTTGCAGCCAGATGACCACAGACCAAAACCTCTGAAACCATGAGCCAAAGTAAAGCTGTTCATCTTTAGGTTGTGCATGTCAAGAATTTTGTTCCAGGGACAAAAATGTAACTGATGCAAACATACTTAACATGTTCATAGAATCCTTGAAAAGATTCGTTCTCACTTTGTCCACCTATGTACAGCCATTTTCATTAGTTCATTATTATTCTAGTGTTTATGTAGAACTGAATATTTTCATTCATCCTTTCTTACATAAAAGTAGCATACCCTAGATACTATTCTACATCTTACTTTTCTCATTAAAACAATACATCTTAGAGATCTCTCCATATCAGCACAGAGTACACAGTGACTTGGTGTCTCATTCCAGGGATAAGAAACCCAAGGGTCAAGCAGCTGAGACTGTCAGCCCAGTGACAAAGCAAAACAGAAAGAAGCAAGCTGTATGTCCACCCACTGAAAGACAAAGGATCTAATGGGTAGGAAAATTAGTCTGAGCTGGACTTAACTGTGATCACTAAGCTATCTTCCACTTGGCACGCCAAGGATCTACAAACTTTATATGGGTTAAGTGGGTTTCTATGGATTAATTACTGCAAAGTAATTGTATGGGAGAATATCCCTTCTCTTTCCCTCTCTGTAATAAGGATTGGATATGCAGGGCCTCACACATGCTTGGCAGCACTCTACCATTGAGCTACATCATTAGCCCTTTTTATTTTGTTTGTTTTGGTATCGGGGATCAAACTCGGGACCTTGCAAGTGCGAGGCAGGCAGCAAAACCACTGAGCTAAATCCCCAGCCCTAGACAGACTCACAAAGTAGTAAGGAACGTGACTTTAAAGCCCCCCACCCCAGCTTCCTGGTTACCATGAGGTGAGCAGCTTTCCCTTCTCCACAACCTTCCACCACACTTCCTGCCTTGCAGCCAGATGACCACAGACCAAAACCTCTGAAACCATGAGCCAAAGTAAAGCTGTTCATCTTTAGGTTGTGCATGTCAAGAATTTTGTTCCAGGGACAAAAATGTAACTGATGCAAACATACTTAACATGTTCATAGAATCCTTGAAAAGATTCGTTCTCACTTTGTCCACCTATGTACAGCCATTTTCATTAGTTCATTATTATTCTAGTGTTTATGTAGAACTGAATATTTTCATTCATCCTTTCTTACATAAAAGTAGCATACCCTAGATACTATTCTACATCTTACTTTTCTCATTAAAACAATACATCTTAGAGATCTCTCCATATCAGCACAGAGTACACAGTGACTTGGTGTCTCATTCCAGGGATAAGAAACCCAAGGGTCAAGCAGCTGAGACTGTCAGCCCAGTGACAAAGCAAAACAGAAAGAAGCAAGCTGTATGTCCACCCACTGAAAGACAAAGGATCTAATGGGTAGGAAAATTAGTCTGAGCTGGACTTAACTGTGATCACTAAGCTATCTTCCACTTGGCACGCCAAGGATCTACAAACTTTATATGGGTTAAGTGGGTTTCTATGGATTAATTACTGCAAAGTAATTGTATGGGAGAATATCCCTTCTCTTTCCCTCTCTGTAATAAGGATTGGATATGCAGGGCCTCACACATGCTTGGCAGCACTCTACCATTGAGCTACATCATTAGCCCTTTTTATTTTGTTTGTTTTGGTATCGGGGATCAAACTCGGGACCTTGCAAGTGCGAGGCAGGCAGCAAAACCACTGAGCTAAATCCCCAGCCCTAGACAGACTCACAAAGTAGTTGCTCAGGCTGGCCTCAAACTTGGGATCCTCCTGCCTCAGCCTCTCAAGTAGCTAAGATGACAAGCATGCACCATCATATATGGTTAGAGGAACCAAAGCAGGGCAGATGGCCAGAGCACAAGAGCTCCTACTAATACCAGCAGTAAGAGGTGTGGCAATCACTTTCAGACCTGAGGCTGTGACTCAAGAGTTCATGATAACAGAATATGAAATATTCAGACATGCACAATGAAATACAGTTATAGATTGTGAGCTGAAAACTATAAAACTCTAGACAGGAACACAAGGACAATTAAATGGAGACATACACCAAGTTCTGGGACAGACAGAAGTACTCTTTATTTAACATCCCCCAAAATAAGATGGAGAGTTTGATGAAATAATTCTTCGGTTTATGTATCATAGACACCTATACATAAATCACTATGTAATAAAGGCTGACAGCATGCTAAGAGTTACCATAAACAGAATAGTAACTTACATTTAGCTGGTATCTAAAAACTATTTTAAATTTACAGTAGGTGGTACCGGTATAGAAATAGATTAGTAGAGGGGAAAAAAAGGAATAGATCAGTATAACAACAGAAAGCTCAGAAACAGACTTCTGTATGTGCTTTATTAAATGATCAAATCACTTGGGGAAAATAATCAATGAATATTAATAGGACAAGCGGCTAAACCATTTAACAATAAAAAAGGCTCTTTATTCCTTATCCCCAGCAATCTCATGCCTATCCTAAAATAAATTTCAGATAGAATGATGGTTTAAATGATTAAAAAAAACCAAAAACTACTTGTTACCTTGACACTGGAAAGTCTTTCAAAGCATGGTACCAGAAGCAAAATACTTAAGGAAAAAGACTGATAAATTTGTCTACACAAATTTAAAATTTTCATGTGGCAAAGTATAACACAAACAAGGTTTTAAGAAAAGCAAAGTTGTTTTCTAAAACTGACAAAATAGAAAAATTCTTCACAAAACATGGCAGGTAATTAAAATTACAATGATATAAGGTGCTTTTTTAAAACAATAAAAGAAAAACAGTCCAAGTACATTACTGATTTATTTTAAAAAAGCCATTCGCAAAAACAGTTATGAATGGCCAACCAGCATGTAAAACTGTCCAAGAGAAGCAAACAAAATACTGAAATATCATTTTCCCCAACCAGATTAATCAAGATGAAAAATATCAACAATGCCCAGTGGTACTGAAGCTTTTCCCTGCTAAAAGTACAAAGACGTTTCTCTGTGAGACTTCCCCAGCAATATGTGGTGTGACGTCAAGTATACATGGTTCTCATTTCAACAACTATACTTCTACGAATTTAACCTCACTGGTAACTGCATATATTGACACAGACTTGTATAAGGATAGTGAACGTGCAGTAACACGCTGCATGTTACTAAAGCAGTCATCACATCCATTTGTAATGTACTCGTTACGGACAAGGAAAACATCCAGGAAATGTTGGTGAGTAAAAGCGTGTGACACACATGATCTGACTCCATTTGGCCCATTTCGTTGTGCCAAAAAGTGTGGATATGGAGATCCACACCACTTCCATCAAAGCATCACGTCTCTCCGCAACAGGAGCATATATTGCTTTTTAAAATGATTTGCTTCTTTATTCAGTCTCCAACTGATGGGCAAATGGGCTGTTTCCAAGTTTTAGCTATTACAAACTGTGCAGCTATAAACATGGGTGCGCGTATATCACTATGGTATGGTTCTTTTAATTCTTTTGGAAAGATATAATAGTAAATAAGATCCTAATGGTATAATTGACAATGTGAAATAGGAAGAAAAGGGCTAAAAGGTGTAGGGGAAGTGGGAAGGGTAGGGGAAAGGAAATAAGGGAAAAGAAAAAACTGAGAAAATGAAAAAGTGGAAATAAAGTTTCTGTAAATAGGGAAGGGAGGAGGGGATGAAGGAAGGGCAGGGGTATGGGGAAAAAATGAGAACCAAGACCTGTCATGTAAAGGTACAAGATCCCAATGATGAATGTAACGGTACTGTATACCTAAAATGGACCAATAAACTCAGTGAGGAAAAAAATTTAAAAATAAACTGATTTGCTTCATTGAATCACCAGCAGCCCACAAACCTGAGCACCAAAAAGGCCACACTGCCCTTCCTCTTTAGAAGCAGGCACTCGGCTTTAATCAATGAGTACGGTAGGCAAAAGGCCTTAGCCACTATTTGATTTATTGCTATAACCAGTGGTTTTCTCTTAGAAAAACAGAAAGTTTAGAAATCAAAATGTGAGGTGAGCAATTAAAAAAAAAATAAAAGGAGCACAGGGTGAGGGATTTAGCTTGTGGTTCCATCACCTGCCTCACAAACACAAGGTCTGGAGTTCTCTCCCCGGTACCAAAAAAAAATGGAGCACTGAGAATTCTTTTTATATCCTTATAAAATTAACTTAAATGTTAACTTTATTCCAAGCTAATGTGGAATTTCAAGATAGTCACTGCTGCTCTGGTCTTAAGTATTCACCTCCAATTCCAGGGCTTGAGTCAGAAAACAAACTATTATCTATTTTTCCTAACCAACCTGCATCCACTTGCTTTGCTGTTTGTGGCCCCTTATACAAGTGATGGGTGAGGTGCCTTACAATGAAAAGACAGATATAAAAGACACATATGGTATAATAAAGGTAATACTTCAAATTATATGTAAAGCTGTTTGGAAATTTAAAGGCTTGGCTTTGGCAAGAACCAAAAAGCCTGTCCAAAAATTAGTTCAGTAGCTAGTTCAAGGGCTAGCAAATGCCAAAAAAGAAAGTAGTCTTGCTGTCTGAAGACTTGGCCCATAATTGAAGGAAGAGATGTGTCTGAACCCATGTCACCATTCCACAGAGAGACTCATCACCCTGACGCTACCAGAAAGAACTGTTCTGGGGATATAATGAAAAAGACACATGTGGACGTGCCTATTGGACAGAAAGGCCCTGCATTCTCCCAGGAAAACCGACTATCAGTGTTCTGAGACACCCCTTCTCCCCTTTAGCTAGGAATCCACATAGAGGGGGGAAAATCGGTATTAAGGTAAAGGTACTAGGCAAATTTAGAGAACTTAAAGCTGGCATCACGTTTAAGAATAAATTAGAAAAGAACTGTGAGAAAATTAAGTATCCTTTCCACAAATGCTCAGTACCTGCTTCTGTTACGTATTAACACTGAGCAACTTTGAATTATAATTTGGATCAGTTAGAAGAAATGACAAAGTCTGTGTTTTTTCTATTTTAGTAACTATACATGAACTGTGTTTATATCTGTGCACTATACCCAGAAGTTGCTATTTTACTTAATAGTCAGTAAGTTATTTTAAGCCAAAAGTTTTGATAATAAGCAAGCAGGATTTCTTTCTGGAACAATTATGCTGAGTCCCTATCTGGACAACTGTTATTTTGGGGGCAAATGTATCCCCATGTGGACAACTTTTTCAGTTAATTCCAGAGTGGGAAATGAGGGAGATAAAGAAACACAGCATGTTTACAGAACTGGTAACAAAACAGGGAGAGTGGATTATCTCTTTTGTTAAAGATGGCCCTGAATTTCTTCTTTTTCATTAAAGGATCTGCACTACACTTTAACAATTCATAATGATTCCAAATTGAGTGAAAAATCAGGTGATTTTGAACTTCTGCACCTAGAAATATTAAAAAGTGGAAAGCTATTTGTATTAGTCTATTGAGAGCCCTACTCTATAATTCACCTGAGAGTGAAGATTTTAAAAGCTGATTATAAATCATAGTCTAGGGTAGTAGCTCAGGGAACAGAAGACAACTACTCCTAGTGCAGCTGACACTGAATGTACAAATGTCAAGACATCACCTCCAACTCTCACTTTTCCCAATTGAATGTGCCACCCTACTCCTGGTATGGAACAGCTTGATGGACAGTTAGCACTTGCTCCTGTTTTATCCTCATCTTCTCACAAGCCCAGATACCATCATCTGTTTTCTGTTGCTATAACAATACCAGAACCTGGGTCATTTATAGAATAAAGAGGTTTATTTTGACTCAAGAGTTCTGTAGACTGGGAAGTCCAAGGGCATGGCATGGATTCAGCCTTAGATAAGGGCCTCAGGCCATTTCAAAGCCCAGTTGATTGCAGAGGGGCAAGTGGGACTATGTGGAAGACACAACAAACAAGGGGTAAATTCACTTTATAACAACCAAGAACTCAGTCACACTCAGGAAAGGCATTAATCCTTCCTGATCATTCTAATCACCTCTTAAAGGCCCTACACCTCCCCAACACTAGTGCAAATGGCAATCAAATTTCAATGTGAGATTTGGTGGGGACAACCAGACCACCTTGCTAGGCCACTCAGCCTCCTCCTCCACCAATACGCAGCAGAGGAAAACACACAAAAACAGCTTTCTACTTTTTAAGAATTTTAGGTGCAACAATTCAGGACCACATTCATATATGCTCCACCCTGACCTTGTGCAATGTAACCAACCCTCTTTTTCTTCTGCGCAGTTTTTAATTCTAGAACATATTCTAGAAATTTCTAGAATATTCTAGAAAACCCTAGGCCTAGTCTAGGCCTACCCGACAGAGTAAAAAAGAAGGAAGGAAGCCACAACCCTCTTTTTTTTCCCCCTTCATTTCTTACTGAGCCTTGGAGCTGAGCCAACCTTTTCAATGACTTCCTTCATAAAGTCCAATTTTAGTCCAAACCTAAGCCTATCTTATTGCTTCTTACAGAAGAATACATCCTGAGGAATGGGTTCTAATTAGCAGAGATGCTATAGAGAAGGATCCAGAGACTACCATGTATCCAGTGTCTAGAGGAGCTGACTCTCAGGTATCACTCAGACCAGACTCTCATGAGCCACAGCCTGTGGTCAATAAGACATTAGACATCAAACGTCTGAAATTCACAGACATAGAACTGGTCCTGAAGAAGCAGGAAAGAGGTCAATAATTCCTGAGTTTCTCCTTTTAGGGGACTCCACTGTGACAGCCACCATGTTGAATCTAGGATGAGGCCACGCTGGGAATGCAGAAAGTTCCACACACCCTCTGGATGGACAGACACGTGCAGGCACCTGAGAAGCTGTCAGACATCCGCTCCATAGCAGTGTATCTTCACCAGTGCAGTACCATCTGCCATCTAGACACGGAGAGAACAAGAGAAGAGGCAGGTCATGAACACACTTTTCTTTTCTCACTGTGCATTTCTAAGTGTAGCTCATGGGAGGCTGTGAGGGGAACAGCATGAGACAGCCACCCGCTGTGTGTGACCAGGACCACTACGGCAATTCCTGCTCTTTTCCTGGGTCAGGAGTGCATCTCCCTTCCTACCCTGAGCTGCAGGGATAGCTGACTATGCTCTACTGAGCCAAGACAATCTCCACTCCCACCCACTCTGATTCTCCTCGTCCCCAGCTGTTCTGCTTGACTCCCACCCCATCCTCCCCTCTGTACCACTCATTTCCCAAAGACAGCAGTTCCACATACCACACTGCTAAGAAGGAGAAGAATGCCAGAGCCATCACAAAAGCTATGGAGCCCAGTCCAACACCCACCATCTGCTCCAGTGTGAGTGACGAATCTGTGGGATGAAACCACACGTGAGTCCACAGTGCATCACACCATGGCCCTCCCGGAAGGCACAGGCCAAAGGTGCTCTGTCCACTTGACTCCAGAGCTGGGCCCCATTTCACAAAAAAATCCCAAGAATGCCCCACAGTTTCTTTGTGGCCTTGAGTTGGTCCTGCAGATGTGGAGCTCCAGCAGACCACAGCTCCATAGTACTTCTGAAAGGGAAGGTAAAACTTCAAAGTTACAAGGGATAAAAAAGCTGAGCTTGTAAGCAAACAAATACCACACAATGTATTGTTTTGTGTTGGTCTCTTCTCCTCATCAATTTCCTGTCAATTACTCTTGATAGATTTTTATAGGAAGTTTTCCTTTACCTGGATTAAGAAGTCATTTCGCTATCATTTGAATTTGGATTTAAAAAATGTTGTCTAGCTCCAGTGGTCCAGTATAGTAAACAAATATCTTCTGTTGAATCAAGTCACCTGTCATTTTCCCCTTATCCCAACAAAGGATATTACCACCCTATTCTGCTCAGCAGAGTGTTATGAGGATAAAGTAAGAAAACTGATGCAAGGGCACTTTGAAAGGTATGCATTCTATTTGGAGAGCATCACATATCTTTCCAGGGAGATCCCTGGTTATAAAACACCCACATGTGAGTTGCACATTTGGGCTGAGTGACTGAGTCAGAGCTTACGTACCAGACTACAGCAAAGACTCGGTTCTCCATTGGCAAACACTTATTCAGCAATTTAAGCACCTCACAAATGTTAACTCATTTGGTCCACCTTTTACACTGGGTACTATCATTACTCCCTCTTTACAAAGGGGAAAAAGACATGGAGTGGTTAAGCACAGATCCAATCTTTACCACCAGGCTGAAAATGGTTTGTCTCTACTGGGACTCTGCAGGTTACCTGGCACTAGTAAGAGCAGCTGCGGAGCATGCCTGGTCCTAAAGAGCAAAGGCAAAGCCCACTGTCCCAAAAAGTGCTGTCAAGAGACACAACATGTAGATTACATTCCTTGACTGCTCTCAGTGTTCAGAAGGGCCTTGAAACTTTAAGAAGCTACATTACAGAGTGGAAGGAATATCAGTGATTTAATTGGAAATTCGTTTCATATATATATATTAAAATATATTGTTATATAATAGACATACAAATACACATTAGGAGAATGACTTGAATTAGTAAATGTTAAGACATTGCAATATCAACACAGGAATGATACACTGGATCGAAATAAACAGCCTAGAAACAAAGCCAACTATATCAGCTCAGAGGGGGAACACTTGAGTCAGGCTGTGAGTCAGGTTGTTCCTATCTTTATTTGAACACCACCTCTTCACAACAGTGTGAATTTGAGCAAGTTATTCAGTCAGTCTATGCCTCACTTTCTACATTTAAGGATGTTACAATAACATGAAAATGATAGCAACAGTACCTACTATACAGGGTTGTCGTGAGAAATTAATGAGTCAATACTCAGAGCAGTGGCTGGCACAGAATAAGAAATAAGCAAATTTTAGCTATTTCAATATTGATACTGTTGTTAAGTTACTGTTTCAAATCACTGGGGAACTGATAAATTATTTATAACTAGTGCAAGAAAATTGGCTAACCACTTGGAATAATTTTGATCACTAGAGCTTATATGCCAAATAAAATCCAAATGGATTAAAGACAAATCAAAACCAAAAAGAATTTGAAAATGTTAGTGAATATGTAGTATTAAAGAGGATAAGAATTTTCTAACGCTATTAATGCAGAAGTCTTAAAATGAGAGACTGAGAGAATTAGCTACATTACAAAGCATATACTTCATACACTGAAAACTATCAGAAGCAAGGTGAAAAGGTAAATAACAAACTGGGTAAAATATGTGCAATAATAAGCATACAGATAGCACTTCAAATTAAGAGGGAAAAGACAAATATCTCAAAAGCAAAATGAGAAAATTCTGCACAAAGAATATGCACAGTTATATATGAAATGTGGTTAAAGAATTGATAAATCTTTGATTACTTTCTTACAAGTAATGAAGATGTAAATTAAAACACTGAGATACCATTTTTTTATGCTAAATTAGCTAAGTTTTTGCTTTTTAAGAGAAAGGACAGCATTGCAGTGGGGTGGGGTTTCATTCACACTATCCAATATTCCTCTCAGCTTCTGTCATTATATTCCCCTCTATACACTCATTATATTTTTAATCTTCAGTTAATAAAAATATTGAGCTGAAGATGACTGTGCACAGAGATCCACTCTGTGCACAGCCCTGGGCTCTACATCAATGCATGAACAGTCATTCGTGAGTTGATGTCACCTTTACATAGTCAGCCCCTGTCTAAGCTACATGTGGCCATCATATGTCTCCACACTGTCCACAGTCAAAATACATTATCCCTACCATATTTCCCGAGCAGTGAGTGACTCAGGGCAAGAAGAAAAGGAGGGCAATCTGACTAGTAGGCTCTCAGCGATCCTGTGCTGGCTTGTGGGAGCTGCTGCTGCTTTTCCCGGAGACGAAGCCACCATTCGAAGATCTAGCCTGGCCCTGACTTCAAGTTATCATCAGGTACACTTCCGGTGCTCCTTTTCTGTCTAAAGCTTCTTGGTCTTCACTCATCTCTAGCCTTTTCATGTCTCTCTGCTTCCACATATCTAAAGATCACTTGAAAATGGTCTGTCTATTTTATTAGAAAGATGTGAGAACTTGCTAGAATGAGTTTGAACCAGGTGGGAAGACTTGAACCTACACAGATTAGTCGGCTCTTTCCTTGCTTTCAAATATCTCCTCAGAAGCAAAAGGGAAGAAGCAAAACTAGAATAGAGGAACCTGACTTTCTCTTGGCTACTGCCAGCAGGATCCATCCAAAGCAATGGACCCAACTATTCCTTACTCTAAGACATAAGTACTGACAAATGATCCCTGTTTGTTCTGCACAGATAGCACCATTTGGGTTTTGGCTCTGGGCATGTTTCTTGCTGGCAGAAAAGTTCTCGGTTATGTGTCTTTTTTATGTACTGTGAAAAACTCTTTAAGAGCATTCATGCATACAAACCACAGGCTTCTTTAGGAACATCATGTATGAATTTCTTACTAAGAAAATCTACAAATGGCCAGTTTCATTGGTGCTTTTCTTATAGCCTTGCCATCCTTGGGCTACTGTCCCTTCCACAGTCTCGTGATGGAAACTTTCTTATTTTTCTTCGGAATCACTTGCAGGGCATTCTTTTAGAAACCCAGCTGAATGACTTATGTGCTATATCCCAGATCAGTTACTTATTCTTGGAGAATTTGAGTCCATTGGTATTATACCATTCTTTTTACGGCAGCTCTCTCGAGAAGGCTAGTGCTCCGGGGTTTCTGGGTTCCTTCTTGCTCTTTCAGTGATAGAAATACCACAGGTGCTGAAAAGGAAGTTAGAGAGACTCTATGCCTACTCTCATACTTGTGACATCTTAAAGACTTTCTTTTGGGTATGGACATGTTTTTCCATAAATGCACAGACAGGCATAGTCATTTCCAGAAAGCAATAATTCTATTTACCAAAAGGTAGAAATAAGTGCTGTGACTTATATTTAGTGTGTCCAACTTCTCTTTGCTATTCTCACTTGAGTTCCTTGCTAAGCAAGATACAGTGAAGCAGACTGAAGTAGAAAACTAATTTAGTAATACCTGATAAATCAGCAATACAGCTATATTCATTTTTTATTGTAGCTTAACAAGTACCATAAATTTAGGTAGCTATAACCATTTGTTAGCTCACAAGTCATTCAGAATAGGCATACTGTGACTGGTGCTGGACTGAGGATCTCACAAGTTTGAACTGTAGGTGTCAGGTGAGCTGCATTTCTGTCTGGAGGCTCTGGGGAAGAATCTACTCCCAAATTCATTGACTATCAGCTACATTCATTTTCCTGCATTTGTAGAACTAAGATCTCCATTTTCTTACTGCCTGTCAACTGGGAGTCACTCCTAATTCCTACAGGGTTCCATGTGGCTCTCTCCATCTTCAAAGCTAACAAGAGAATGTCCCTATGTCAAGTCCATCTCACCCTGAGACTCTGATCTCCCCTGATCTCCAGACCCAGGTTCATGTGATTAGCTCCAGCCCAATGAAATAATTGCCTCATTGGAGACTTTAATTATATGTTCAAAATCCCTTCAAAGCAATGGTCTTTGAATGAATAGGCAAGAGAAGTCATGTTTTAAATGACTGTATGTGTGTCTACACATATATAGTTGTTCCTCAGTATCTATAGGAGATTGTTCCAAGACCCTCTGAGGGTACCAAAATCTCCAGATACTCAAGTCTCATATATAATGGCAAAGTATTTGTATATAACCTATCCACATCCTATCATATGCTTTAAATCATCTCTACACTACTTATACTATCTAAAACATTGTAAATGCTGTGCGAATAGTATTGCTTAGGGGATAATGACAAGAAAAACTGTCTGTACATGTTTAGTACAGATGCGATTCTTTTTTCCTTCAGGGCTTGGGATCAAACCCAGGGCTTCATGGATGCTAGGCAAGCACTCTATGACTTTACACCCTCAGCCCCAGATGCAATTTTTTTCCACATATTTTTGGTCTATAGTCGGTTCAATCAGGTCTTCTCAAACTTATTTAATTTGACAAATATTACACTAACTATCCATCACTTCCCACAAAACAGACTGCTGGCTACTCGAAAGACACTCGTCCCAATTCAATACACTCTGATTAAGCACCGAATGTGTGCCAAGTGTTGTCCCAACTCTTCTAATGTTCCCCTGAAGGATCTGAAATCTAGCAGGTGAAGATAAGTGCCCACCAGGTGCTCTACAGAATTCCAGAATGGCTAAAGAGAGGTAGGGAGGGAGATCCTGCCCTGTCGGGGAAATGTTAAAAGCTTCAGGGAGGAGATGGCACTTGGTTTTAATCTTGAAGAACAGATGGGATTGTTGTAGGTAGTCACAAGCAGGTTACAAGACAATCCAGGTGGGAGTAATAAAGTCCTCGTGTGAGCAAAGACATTAAGGGGAAAAGGCTTGGGTCATATCCAGGGAACAACGGGCACATTAGTCGGAACGGAAAAGGAGAGAAGCACCTAGACAGTACACTGGTGTCAAACTGAAAAATCCAGGCTTAAAAATAATGGGGAACCACAGAAAAAGTATAGGGAGAAATAATAAATTAGTGCTGCCATTTAGAAATGAGTCAAGTGGTGATGTGTAGGCTGAAGAAGGAAATCCTGAATTCTTGCGATGAGAGATGAACAAGAAGGGTTTTCCAGCCATCTATGCTACAGGGATGAAAGCCTGTGCTATATATGAAGGAATGAACACAAAAATAAAAACCAGTACAACATGTGTTCTGAAAGACGATGAGGAGTAGTCACTAATGACTCAGAGTTTTCAGGCCTGTGATTGAAGAATGTTCCCTGATTATAGCTTATTATTATCTCAATGGCTCAAGAAATCATAGACTTACAGTACTTTGCGGCTAGAAGAGATCTCAGAAGGCCCAGACTGAAGTAACTAAGAACTGGCCAAAACAAACATTTCAAAGACACTCGGCTGATTAGCAGCTTGACTCAGGCAAGGAAGCTGGGCCTCTTCATTTGCCATCAAACCAACTTCTGGTCCCTTGGTAATCACATCAAAGCTCTTTTCGGGTATAAGACAATCCAGGAGCAACATGCAAAAGGTAAATTGTATAATTCATCACTGATCAAAGGCCAGGATGGGGCTGAGGATTGGCACGATTGAACTACAACAATTTCAGAACTAACTTATATCCCACCTCTCTCCAAATTTCTGTGTCAGTCTCCAAAGTTTTATGAATAAGGATTCCAGAGATGAATGTAACACACAGGTAAATTTTATACACAGATAAATGTATACTGGAACTGTCTTTAGAATTTCCACATAACAATGGGTTTTCTATTATCTTCCAGAGCTCTGTTATCTTCCAACTGTTTGAATACAAAGGCTCAAATTCTCTTTCAGTAGTGGCTCTTACGTGGAGTGGGGAAAAGGGCACTGCCAAAAGCCACTTAAGATATTCTCTAAGCAAAATCCTTCCTATTAACTTACTCAACAGCCAAATAATGAAGCCAGCTCTCTGGTTATTTCTTTGACCCAATCTGAATATCTTCCAATTGTATCAAATAGTTGCTGAGTGCAGTGGATTCTGGGAGCTATTATTTCTGTGTCTGAAAGCTTGCACATCTTAACTCTTCTATAAAAGTACCTCTACCTTGTGAGAACTCCATTCCCATCCCCAGAGGTTTAGGGGATGGACTGACAAAAAGTCTTCCAATGTTGGCATGTGATTGTTTCTTGTGCCCTTCATTAAACCTCTTCAAGATGGGAGCTTGGCCCATCTTCACACAGAAAGAGAACAACACACATCTTTGCAAAGGCAGCCCTGCATTGCCTGGTGATCAGCAATCTCAAATGGCTGATGGTCAGGTAATTTGCCTTGTTCGGCTGAAAATCAACTCCCCTACCCTTGCTGAAGAGGATTTAAGTGGAGATAAAACAATGGGATATAAGATTAGGGAAGAAGCAAAAAAAAAAAAAAGAAAAGAAAAAAAGAAAGAGGAAGCCTAATATCCCAGACTCCTTCTTTACCCTTCCTGCAAAGTATCCTCTACTGTCTGATGGGGTGACAGATCTCCAGTGTCAAGTGCTGTATACTGGAGCCCTTCTGAAAGCCATTAGATCAGTGGTCCTCACTATACCAGCCTACTGTGCTATTTTGCTCTGAGGCAAGGGACAGGATATAAGGTGTTAAAATGATAGTGTGGGTGGAGGGAAGAATTTCTCAGCTTGTTCCAAAAACTCATAAACCACAAGGAAAAGTTCCAGATTCCAAGGTCATAAACTTGTTAGTATTAGCTACAAACTATTGAAATTCCTGGGAACTGAATATGCTGGACGGCTGCCCGTTGTTTTTTTTTTTTTAAACTTACTGCAAGGGAAATCCCCAGCCTGGCAAACAAAGAGTGACAATTGCTCAATCCCTACAGCAGGCACGTCCCCCTCCTAGATAACTCCACCCTTGTGAAGTAGAAGGCTTAAACTGTATAGCACCCAGCAGAGATCCTTCCCACTGCCTCCTTTGGGAAAGGGTATGGAGAACAAGGGGCACTTTCCTGTTAGGCAGACCCTGACACAGCCAGACTGACTGCCCAACGCCCCATTCTGCTGCAGGAACAGAGGGTGCTTGCATGACCCATCCAGTAGGTGGTGTCCTGGGTCCCCAATCACTGTAAATTACTTTGTATTTTCTTCCTTTTTAAATGACAGTGTTTATTGTGGGCATCCAGTTTTCCCTTTAATGGTTAGCTTTTCCATTTGATCACAGATTGCTAAATGGATCATGAAAAGCACATCTGGATTTGATCAAGAAGAACATACTATCCCCAGGATCCCTTGCAGCAACCAGCTTTTCAACTGTCTTTCCCTGGGGTTCCATTTTGTTAATGCAGGAAGTTTTCCTTAATATTACAATTATGTACCGTTTGGTGACAGAGATACATTTTGAGAAATGTGTCACTGATAATTGTGTCATCATGTAATCACAGAAAATACACCAGTAAGATACAACATCTCTCAGTAATATAATCTTATGGGCCCATAAGATTCCGTCATTGACTGAAATGTCATTAAGCTGCATGTGACTGTATACAGTGGAGCCCTGACTTATGAACTCAATTGGTTTCCAACGGCTGGTTGTAGCTCAAGTTGGTTGAAGTCAATACAGGTGAGATTTGGATATTTACCTGGGTACATGCTACAAATAACAGGAGGCAGATGAACCTTCAATTAACCTAATTAACTCAAGTTGTTCATATGTCAGTCCAGTCACAACTCAGGGGTCCACTGTATATGACTGTGCACATGTTACACAGCCAAACAGAAGGTAGTAGACTGCTATAGCTCTTACTTTGGTGTGTAAACATGTATGTTTCTCTGAGCCTTTTCTTAATAGGACTCTTATCCCCCTCTCAACCCTGGTGGAGGTATTTCTCACATTGTCCAATTCCCAACAAGCCAAAATCTAAGATAGGTTGTTCATAGTTACCTATCTCCTATAAACGATGACTCCTCTAGTCCCTTAACTTAGAAGAAAAGACTCTATTCCTGTATTTTAAAAACTTTCTGTTCCCACTAACATTGTTCAGCTAGGGCAGCTGAGGCCCAGATCTGACCCCAGCATGACCTAGAGTAGAAAAGAAATGAGGCTAACTCACAAAGAAAGCAGAGACAAGAGGCAGACAGAAAGGAAGAGCCCAATCATAGTGCTGAGATCCAAGTTCCAGTCCCTGGAGGCCTGACTGTAAAGCTATCTGTATAATTCTATAAGAAGCACTCTCCCCGCTCACACACACACCTTGCTTTTCAACTCTGACTTGTAGCTTAAGATAGTGTGTTGGGTTTCTGTCACCTGTGACAATTTAAAAAGAGATCTCAACATAAACTTGCTACTGCAGATTGAACAGGGGAGAAATAAAGACAGCATTCCTAGAGAGAAAATAGTTTTACCTTTCACCTGAGCCAAAACTGCACAGGAGTATCTTCTCACCTGCAAAGGAAAACAGCAGCATATTAGGTGGCACACAGTGTCCATTTAACCAATATAATTCAGAGGGCAAAGCCCTGAGACTCAAATTTTGGCATCTTAACTTGAGCTAAAAGATCTTGAAAGTCCCATCTAGCTTTACCGTTCAGCCATCTACCATCAGTGCCCAAGGGTCTGGCATGGGTAACAGGCATAGAAATGACCCAAGAGATCACTTCTACGGGTTTCCAGTAGATCTGAGAAAGCACGCACTAGGGGTAAACAATAGAATGGCAAGAGTTTCACTCCCCATTGCCAGTTCTGAGCAACTGGAACTGATGGCCTGGAAAACTACGTTGAAAAGAATTCTGAGGTGACACCTAAGTTCAGAAGAAGTAGCGAAGGATGTTACAGGCAGGTTTATGAGAAGTTCTGACATATAATATTTCACCTATCTGGGTGACACTTGGCAGCCTGTTACCCAATATGCATCCACAAACCAGGATGAAAGCAAGAGGAACATGCATGAGAGAAGAAACTTGCAAGCCTAGTGGGCTGGAATGCCTTCTCGTCGCTCTTGTCATTATTATATGAATACTTGTCGATCAGAGCTGCTGGATTCCTGTGTATAAGACTCAGAACAAAATTCCCCAGAGGAAGCTGAATAACAGAATTAGAGAAAGATCCTGCCATCCTCATTAGGAGATTCTCTTTCAAGTCACACAGTTAGGCATTCTGATTTTCACTTTATTAAAAGTATTTTAAAGTATATTGAAACTGAAAAATAATCCCTACATTAGAGTCACAAAGCACTACCAACCCTCTTTGCTACTTAGATATAGTCTTAAAAGTAACCACTGGTTTAATTTCAAGCATGTCAATGGCACATTAGACCTGTGTCCTACACAGAATTTAATAGAAGTCTGCTTTAAATATTTGATGAACCTTACAACTGAGATACTTTCATACTTTTGCCCTGAATGTATCATTCAAGAGATGTTTGATTAGTATTAATTAAATTTTTAAATTTCCATTACAATCCCATATGCATTTACATTAAGCTTAACCTCTCCCAGGTTAATCATCACAAAGTTCTTCCTATTTTCTAGCCCAGACTGGCTCATGCAGCTTTAGCTATTCTGCTGGTCTAGCTCATTCTATTTATCAAATGAATATTTACTTCTGGATCTCATAAAAGAAGCAATGCTTGAAAAGCACAGTCTTTCTGAGGACATAGGAAGGAAGAGTGGGGCCTATGGCACAGCTAAGGAGGTGCGCTCAACTGCCCTTCCTTCCTGCTCCCCAAGTGAATGAGGGGAGACAGCACCTTGGAGTTCAAGGAAGTCGACAGAAGGATCTATTCATATGTTCCTTTTCACAAAAACAAAACAAAACAAGTTGTTCCTTTCCAGCTCAGGCTTCAGAATGGAACAGAATGAGAGCTTAAGAAGAACCAAAACCACATCGATCCAAATGCATATCCAGCAAGTTCTCCCGGGATGTTTAGACATCATCTGTAAGGGTTTCATGTGCCCATTCTTTAGAAGACAAAGCATTTGGCCTAAGAGTCAGGGGCACATTTCAGCAGTTACTACATGCAGTGTCCATCTCAAATACTAGAAAAACATGTGTTCAAACATTTAAATTTCATATGAAGACAAAACTACCAAGTTCATAAGAGCTTTTAAATAACTATACCTTATTCCATTCACTTGTGATTCGCAATACAATATGGTAATCATTCCCTGTTTTCAAGGGTGCATTATAGTATTTCCCATAGTACAGCCTATCTCCAATAGATATCTCCATGGTATCATCTGCAACATCTTTGGCCAGTAGTTCTGCTGCCACATATCCATCAGTATCAGAGGCATTGCTAAAGAATGAGGTAGCACCTTCGTAATCACAAGAAAATATGCTTTGGAGGGCCAGTGGAAGCACCAACACCTGATATGAACTGGAAGGAAAAAGAAAAATGTCTTATCAGATCTTCATGTAGAGGATTCATTCATTCAGTTATTTATATTTACTGAGCTCCTATTATGATATAAGTACGTTTCAAAGGCACTGAGGACCCAACACTGGACAAGAAAAAGTTTTGGCCCACAAAGGATTTACCATCTGACCGTTCCAACAGTCATGAAACGCTACATTAAACTATGACACCAGTGCCAGATGACACTGGTGAGTGATTCTCCAAGTTCTAGCTGCAGACTTGCTTCTTTTGCTAGAAGAACTTGCTGCAAGTATTGCTGCCCTGTGTGTCTGTCATATGATTGATCTGATCAGTGATTTGGGTGAGCAAAGCCAAGCAGTGGAAAGGGTTTTGCAGTCACATGGAGGCAAACTTCCTATAATTGTTAATGTTCTAAGTTTGAAAAAGTCTCCAGACAATCATGTGGCAACTTGAAACAGAATTCATGTGATTTACATTCCCTGCAGTTCACAGACTGATACCAAATTTCATGTGAAATAAAAGAGAAGCCAGTACTACAAAGTCTCCTTGAGTTAATCTGGCTGACAAAATTTTAAAACAGACAGAAAGGCAAAAAATGATATATGTACATTGCAAAACTGTTCCCTAACTGTAGGTGTCATCTTGTCATGTATTTTATTATTATTTATTCCATCCAATAGCCCACCAGTGAAAGGACATGTAAGAATAAAAGTGCACTGAGAAAGGGTCATGCCTTCCTTTCCAGTCCCATTAATTCAGTCCTTGTCTCTTGCCTCTGGTATAGTAAATATTTGATCATCTGCTATCTCTATCTTACTCGATAACAAGAGGTCAAATTACTTACTCTTACACATTTTCAAATCCCTGTACATTTCTTTGGCTATGATTATCCCCTCATTAATGGTTTTCAAGTTAAGCACTCAGTAGAGAGGAAAAACTTGCATGGATACCAAATACGATTAATTTTCCAAACTCCTTAAGCCACATAATACTATTTCACCACCAAATCTGCACTTCCAGTTCCACATGCTAATGCCCAGTCTCCTGCTTTCTATAAGCTCAAGAATCACTAGGTTAAGAAAAGAGAACCCTTCCCCCCCCTCGCAGTAGGTGTTGTATTTGGAAAGTCTCCAGCCACCTATCAGATTCCCAGACATCCTAGGGATCCTGAGGGCCCCGATTTACACAAAGTCTGCCTTGTTTTCAATAAAGGGATTTCTACAGGAGACAAAGTAAAAACCTGCAGGGCAGTAAGAAGTCACCATCAGTAAACCACTACTGGGCATCCACTGCCTACAGGAAGCTCCTGTAACAAAAACCTTCCCCAGGGCTTTAGAAGACAGCCCTGTGAATCATGGTCCAGTTAGAAAGTAGCAGCTTTATGCTGTCCATAAACACAGCTTTAAATCCTTCTCATCTTTCCATGCATAGATCGATGGTGGGGTCATGTACAAGTTCAAGGCTCACTTTTACCCATCTGGCACTGTACACTACCCCCAGAAGTGTCACTCACAAACACAAAGCAGCTCCCTCAGTTAGCCTGATAATTATGCAGATTTCCCAGTCCTATCCCACTCCTCCTGAATCAAAATCTCCAGTAGAGTCGGAAGCGTGTAGTGTTGGTAAAGCAATCCAGGTGACCTCTATTAATTGGCAAGGGTGGGAGATGCTAGCGTTCAAGAAGAGCGGCAACATTCTGAATCATCTACTTAAGATCAGCAAGCTGAGGAAGGGAGGCTCAGTGCCTGGGTGCTTGCTCTATAAGTTGGCCCAGGCCACCACCCCCAAATACTGCACAACACAGGCTGACAAAGCAGCTAGCTCCAGCTCACACCAGGCAGTCAGGCTGAGGAAATCACCTCATTTCTCTGCTGGTAATGAGGCCTCATGACATAAGGGAAGCTGTTGAGGCAATTTGAAACTTGACTGTTCTAGAAGGAGTTCTCCCCTCTTTCTCATCACCACCCTCCCCTGATGAGTCACAAATCTCCACTTCCTGTTTTGGAGGAACTGGCTGTCACACAGCCACAAACGTAGACTGTCATTTGGCTTTTCTTTTTGCCTTACGTAATTATTTGGCTTAAGTATCACATTTGCTCTTGTATATTCTCCCAGGCAGTGACATCACAACTTGTCCTCCTAAAGAAACAGAATTACAATGTCTTCCAGTAACTTGTCAGGAATCAAGAAACAGAGCCACTTAATAAATGTCTATCACTGGACTTAAACTAATATGAAAGCAGGGAAACCCTGAGAATTATGATAGATACACAGGCTTTCTTTTTCATGATTTTGTAATAGCTCATATTTATTTTTATCTGGAATGCACTGAGAGATCACTAAAGAGTCAAGAGGGACATAGGCCATGTAGGTCCAGCCAGGCACACTGTCAACTCCTTGACCTGTTACTGAGGCCAAGTTGTTTCTCTCTCCAGGCCAGACTTTATCTTCCACTTAAAAAAAAAAAAAAGATGGGAGGGGAGAGAGACTGATTCTACTTTCCTAAACCTACCATGACCTTTGTAAATAAATGCAAAATTGAACACAGTGTAGTCCCCAGCAGGCTAATACCACCTGTCCTAATATCATCTGGAATCCCAGCAGCAGTCACTGACTACACAGTATCTGGCCCATACTTCAGTACATGAATGGATAGAAACCACTACACACTCCACCAAGATCCGCCTTCCATAAAGAGAAACATATTCCGTCTCCAGTAAATGAAATGACGCCCTTGACGGGTCATCACTAGGATACACTATGAGTGTGAATGCAAAGGACAACACCTAATGTTGTCAGCCACGTTTGTCAGCGCTCAGAAACAGGTTTAATTTGTTGAGCTAAATTTCCCAACTGCTTGTCTCTGGTCTCTGAGAACTCTCTTTCTTCCTTCAGAAAAATACTGTTGGGAATAAAGACCTAGACTATAGCCAAGCAAATCAAAAAAAGAGGTCCTGAGGCATTGCCCCAAATACTCAAATGCAGCCACCCACACACAAGTCTTCTCAACCAAACCAAAGCTTCCAACAGCCTATTGGGATCACTGGACAACTACAGAGAAGTGATACCCACTGACCTGATAGGTCCACTTCTCTCCTTTGCTTTCCTCAGCTTGAGGCGTGGTAGATGTCCTCTATGCACTGTGAAAGATTCTATTTCTGGAACAGGAGGTTCTGAGAACATTAAAAAGAAAAGTGATATGATCAGAAAAAGTAAAAGCACGAAGAAAGTGGTCTTTGTGGAGGCTATTAAAGTTTTAATATAAAAAGTAATGAGCAGATTTTGATACACCCTACAACACAGATGAACCTTGAAAATAATGCTAAGTGAAATAACCAGACCCCCCCCCAAATACTGTGTGACTCCACTTTTAGCAAATATCTAAAATAGGTAAATTTATAGACTCAGTAATATAGTATATTAGAGGCTGCCAGGGATTCGGGGTGTGGACTGGCAGGGAAACCCATTGATTAATGATCACAAGCTCTGTGATGAAAAAGACTTAGAAACAGACAGTGGCGATGGTTGCGTGATATTGGACATGTACTTAATGCTGATGAATTATATACTTTAAAACAGTTGAAGTGGTAGATTTTCCACCAATGCCCCAGCATTGACAGTTGCATGGAGAGGAGCTTCTGATTTGGTAGGTGCTGTGGTTTAGACATGGTTTACATGTGTCCCCTAAAGGTTCACGTGTTGGATCCAGTGTAGCAATATGAGGAGTGGGAACCTTTAAGAGGTGGGGCTTAATGAAAGGCATTAGGCACTGGGGGTGATTCCCTGGAAGGGATTACTGCCGGTCTGAAGGAGCGAGTGAGTTGCCCAGAGAGTGGATTGTCATAAGAACGAGACTAGACCCACCTCATCTCTGCTTCCTGTCTCACCACATGGCCTCTTTCACATGCACTCCATTATGATACTGTCTGCCACAGGCCTCTCATCAGGCCAAACTGATGGGACGGCCTGATCTTAGGAAACTTTCAGTCTTTAAAACTGTGAGCTAAATAAACTTCTTTCTTAATAAAGTACCCAGCCTTGGGTATTTTGTCATAGCAATGAAAAATGGACTAATACAGCAGAGACCAGCATATCAGCCAGTACTATATCTGTTCTTATTTTGTACTCCTTCAAACCAGATTTCCCAAATAGGTCTTTTTTTCTTTTTTTGTTTTCTTTTTAGTTAAAAGCTCTTTCTTGATTACAACTATCAATTCACATATTTTTTCACAAAGCAACTGTACAAATAAAGGAACCACTGTAAAAGATCCAAGAATACTGTTAAATCATGGCACAAGTCCAAAGTTTGTATAGTTTAAAACTCATATAAAAGGCTTTAATCTAGCATGTTTACTTTTTCCATAATCAAACACAGTACTGACATTCATAGTCACAAGTGTGTAGAAATTAAGTGAACAGAAACATTTTCAGAATGCCTTAACAGGAAAAAAGTTTAACCAATTTTAAAGACACACTTAGCTATGGGTGCCTTTGGATAAGAAAATGTAAAGACTCAGATGCTTCTTTGAAAAGAAAACAACTGGATAGAGCACCACTGTGTAAAAGACAGAAAAAGCTTGAAATGCCCTACCATATGCATCACTGAACTATTATACTGTACCATGTCAGTTTTGACGAGTACATTTAATATCAGTTGAAACAATAGGTTTTGCTTTCCATAATGCTGTACTATATTATATTTTATAAAACCAGCATATGCACAGGTCATCACCCTGAGGACCGCAGGGGAATAGCATGCATCTTATTTGTTGTATAGCTATCCCAAATAATTAATTTGCCATCTTGGGAAGCACTGACTAGGAACCTTGAGTCACATCCCCAGTGCACAGAATAGATTTTGCGAGGTGGCCCCTCAGCATACATCTTGTTCGCATCTGTATTTGACCCACAGAGTTCATATTTGATGTGATCTGACCAAGTGTTGCACCCATTACGTGCTTTCCTAGCATCCTGGATCTGATTCCACAGCTGCTCTGCTTCCTGCCTCAACTGTTCCAGTTCACTCGTCCTTTCAATTTGTTTAATTCAGGGATTACCAAAGGAAATCAACTGAGGAGCTCGGGTCCGCGTCGGCTGCGCACTGCTGCGTCCTCTGGGCACTCTGCTGGCCCTCAAGCACGGAGAAGCCACGTCGACCCAAATAGGTCTTTGATTGGGAAGAAAATACTGTCTAGTTCCTGGCTAACACCAGTGTCCCAACATCTTATTAAAAGTTATAGTCAGGCTGTCAGCGCACCAGCCACCAGTTGGCCCGTGGGTAATACAGTGAAGATGTCTTGGCCACTAACCAGACACACTAGATGGGTCCTGTATGTGCCTCATATCACTCAATCTCCCCACAGTGCTTCCTGGTGGATGTCACTTACGGAAGCATTCATTTTCCCCCTCTCTTGGCGTACCTACCTTAGCCCATGTGGTAGAAACTTCTTTCCTCTCCAGAGTATTAGGAAAAGATGCCCACCTGCCTTTCTGTCCATATGATCTGTGGGATAACACAGCTTGGCTGTTGTTCCCATGTGTCCCCAACTTTTGTTTCTTTTTCTTTTTTTTATGGGGCCATCCCGAACGCAAAGCAGATGTTTCCACCTCCTGTCCCCATCTTCCATACACTAAGCAAACCTGAGCCAAGGCCCAATCTGAAGCCAGGCCCACAGTTTCCCAATAGACTCTACCTTCCCACAGGTGGGGTGCAAGTTTAGATGTGGGAGGAAATTCCAGGAAGCTTTATTTTGGCTTCAGGCCCAAGCCAGATTCGCCAGCAACAGAAATAATAACTGGATTCCTATCTTGCTCTTGTTTATATGTTTTTATTTTTCCCTAAACTCAGAGGTGGAATGATTATGATTAATACCTTTGAAAATTTAATTTTGTAACTGAGGAAATTGTCTCACGGAGGGACTGAGTTCCTTGTCCAAGAGCATACATAACGTTGTAGAGCGAGGATTCGAACCTATTCTGTTTTGCATCTTTCTTGCTTGCCTTGGGGTTCTCTGAATGCTTGGATCCACTGATTTGATCCAGCTGGCTTTTCTTGCCTTTGAGTGAATTAATAAAATCTACATCTAACACACTGAATCTGCAAAGACTACCAACAAATCAACCCAACAAAAGAATCCACTGATACAGTTACTGTGGAATCACAGATTTATCCAGTATGGCTCACATCAGCATCCAGGCCATAGTTAAGATAAAGAAATAATTACTAATACAGAGTTGTTAAGACCAAGGGCTCTGCCATTTGTTGGTTTTTGTTTTTTGGTACCGGGGATCAAACTCAGGACCTTGTGGTTGGCAGGCACGAGAGGCTGCACTGAGCTCAATCACCTGCCCTGTTTCTGCCATTTATGCCTCTGGCTGCCTCATCTCTAAATTGAGAACAGAAATAATCCTTACCTCTTAGGCTTGTTGAGGGGATTAAGGTTCCATTAAAAATAATAAACAATAACAGATAGTAGGTGATTGCACACAGAAGAGAACAGAGCCTGAAGTACAGCGCCCTCCGAGCATGTTGTCATCTTTATTATTCATTTTAGCCACATCTCCTGGTTGCCAACTCTTTGCTAGGAACTTTGCTTCTGCCCATTCATCAAGTCCTCACAGCAGCTCTGCGCAGAAATCACCTCTATTTGATCAATAAGGGAATCGAAGCTCAGGCTGGTTCAGTCACACCACTAATTACAAATGAGCCAGTGTGGGGCCCAGGTTAATTTGACCCTGGAGTCAACATACTGCACTGCCATAGTAGGTCAACATGCCTGTGTTTACCTTGCCTGAAACTCAGTGATGGCCTAGAAGTATAAGCCTGGACCCACAGATTCCTGAAGGAATGAGGGGCCCCTGAGATCACAAAGGACAGAGGTCAAGGTGCCTGACGGGAGCTAATACCAGGCTCTTTTAATTAGCAGCTGTTCCAAGGGAATGGTGAGTAGGAGAACTTAGGAATGATGCCAGGAAAGGAGGCTATGGGAATAGCTTTAGCTCTTCTCTCACTCTAACAGAAACCATTTGGGGTGCTGCGACTGAGTCGGGTCTATAACATAGTAAAGCAGTCCTGGCTAGGAAAAGGGGTAGAAACAAGACAGGCAAGAGTGTCCTTAAATCAGCATCAGAGGTTCTGCTTATTGGGCAGGGGGTGAAATAAGCCAAGCCTCAAAGGTTAACTGTAAGTCTGCACAACTGCAAAAACTCCCAGAAAATGGGGCACCTTGTGCCTGACATTCTCCTACATTGTTTCCTTTATATGTTGGCTTGTATTCTCCATGTCCTTTTTTCGGTGGGGAGTATCCTCTCTCCCTCCCATATGGTTCTTACAAAGCTGTTACAGGGCTCCAGTGGCCCTCTGGCCTAAGCCCTGGTGATCACAGATCACCATGCCCCAACTATAGGCCTTGTCAAGAAGAACAATTCATTTAATTTGAGGACATCAGAAGATCTTGTCCTTCCTCTGGAAGGGTGGCTATAAATACCAAATCAGCCAGGAGTGAGCATGGCAACAGGGCTCGGAAGGGCCATCTGTGGCTGGATCTACTGTGCTGCAAGCAAGATCCGTTCCTGGACTTTCCACTTCTATAGTTCAACAAATTCCACATGCTTAAGCTGCTCTGAGCTAGATTCCTGTCATTTGCAACTCAAAAAGTCCTAATTATAGACTGCATCTAGCACCCTGATATTTTGCTGAAGAGCAGAACACACAGCTGTGTGCCTGAGCTCTGGCACTGCACCAGGTGGACGCAGTTCCTCCGCATTTCTGTGAATCCCAGGCATATCTCCAAACCCTTGGGTGGTACACACGGTGAGGACAACAGGGAAAATGACCTAGCCCAACTCTTCTTCAGGGCCTATGACTGCATCAACTCAGTAGGAAAAGACAGAAAAGGGGGACATGGAGAGGAGAGAAAAGGAAAAATACACAGATAGGAATACCTGCCTGCTGCCACCTATGCCCCAACTCCCAATCCCTGCCACAGTGAAATTAAAGTCCAGGAAGGTGAAACAGACACTCACAACTCTATTTACTGGATTAGAAAATAGCTCTGGGGTAGAACCCCTCAATCACAACATACAATAAAAACCTAGACTTCCTGGGTTTTTATAGTTTTTAAAGCTCTGTGACATGTGTTTTTCTGTATCTGCTGTCAGCATACATTTTTCA